TTATTATATACCTAAAAACTGCAAGAAATTTATTTTCCATTATATAATTTGAGCTAGCCGAAAAAAGCCTTTATTTACTATCGATAGTTGTGCCTCGGTGGTACGAAAGTACTACCATTGCACGCAGGCTGCTATCTCGCGATGTGGGACTTAATATCTTACCGCTACTTTACGACAAGTCGTGTTTATATACTCTGCGCTGTGCTCGACATATTGTGGAAATACCCAAGCTCACCTCATGATGGGGTAGGGCCCCGAAACCGGTAGTGAGAGCAGGTTGATCCACATTATGTCGAACACAGCGTGGAATTAATTTCTATATTAGCAGTTCAAGGCAAGAAACTCTTATATAATTTTATTATATAAATATATGAACATTGTTTTAACTGTATTATTATTTGTAAACCTCAAAATGCTAATGGAACTCTAAAAATAGATATACGTATCTACTAATATAGGTATTTAATATTCCAATGTTCTTTGTGGTGTCTACTTCGATCACATGGATTAAAATTAATAACCATGTATTAGACCTAACAGTGCATATTATTGACAAAACTCAACGCTATAAACCAAATATTAGTTAATTTATATTTATATGAGGCAGAAATATCAATCGCGGACGCGATATTTATAACATGGTTTGGTATATTATTTTTGCAAAGTTAATACGTTTCTGATAAATATAAATAAACATTCAATTTCAAGCGTTGCTTTAATAGGAGCAGTAAACTTGTATGTGTCAGAAATCTAAATAAATAAAAAAACTTGGGTTAGTTACACTCTTTATAACTTAAGAACGGCTAGATGCTTACGTTGAAACGAGTTATGCTTATGTTGATTACCTTCGATGCCAAAAATGCCTTCAACTCGGCTAACAGGGAAAATATAATCAATGAACTTACATATCATTGGAAATAGTATATTGTGCAACAAGTGCGAAAAGTTGTCGATTGCCCACGAGAGCGAAGCGAGTGCGCTCATTCGCTCGAATGGTTACTATTTTTTTATACTATTTATTATTACGTTGCTTTTTAATATGTGTCTTTTGTTATATTTCATCATGTAAATAAAAGAGACTTATTAAAAAGCAAAAAAATACTTTTGGAACACCCCATAGAAGAATACAAAAGATGACATTAAAAACTTCAAATTTTTAATTCGAATTTTAGAGTAGAAAATGAAGGAATTTTAACGTTGCTTCTTCATAATGGCGTTTAATAATTTGTTTACATGATAAAATATAACAAAAGAGACATATTAAAAAGCAACGTAATAAAATAAACAAAAAAAAATAAAAAATATTTATATGTCAACCTCACTTCTTTAATATTGACACTTCGAGACTGTCTTTTTTGCTTGTCAATTTGCGTATGCCAATGAAAATTTGGGTGCGAGAAGTTTACTTGTGGCACTCAAATTGACATTAAAATTTGCTCAAAACATAGATAAATGCAACAAGTTTAGATTGGAAAGCCCGTACAAATTTTAGATCGCGAAATTATTTTGGGTCGCGACCGTTATACGCGATCTGGCGCTGCTATAGCGGTCGCTAAGAACAACGGCAAACAAAAACAGAAATAATTTTCTCTTGTCAAAGTCAGAATCTTCAAAAATCATAATAATCTTTCAAAATCTAAACCGCTCTCATTAATCATTAAAGAAATCCCGAAAAGTGTTTATAGCGTCCATTTTCAAAGTAATTATTGCTATCTTGTGAGTTTAATTCAAGTTTTATTTACTCCAACCGGTGATAATTGTGAAAAAGTGGCATTAAAAACTTAAAAAGCTGTGCTGTGAACTGTGAACTGCAAAAACCATCGTGGATCGTGGCATAACGTCGGTTTCCCATGTTTCATAGGTATTTCATACATGCGTCCTTATATAAAATAAAGTTTCTTGTATGCAACACACTGTATTTTATTTATAAAATTAAACGAAAATAATAATAAATTTGAATAAACAATATTTGGCGATATAATTCCGGAAAAAGCCGAACCGCTCCGAAATTTTCAAAAGTTTTGGGTCGCGACCGTTGCAAGAATAGCGCCAAATAGTGTTTACATTGTCCTTATGGGCATTTTCCAATCTAAACTTGTTTCATTTATCTATGGCTCAAAACTAGTGTGGTGATTGTGAAGTGGGCAATTAGCGTCTTTTCGACTCCAAAAGAATGCGAAAAGATACTACTTTCCTCACATGAGTAATAAAAATAAGTTTATATTTAGTGGAAAATATAAAAGCTTATCTAAGCGAAAGATGCGGGATTGTAGAAGATGCAGAAGTTAAAGTATCTAAAGGTGTACCTCAGGGATCTATATTGGGTCCTTTACTATGGAACGTACTGTATGATGGACTCCTTTGTGTGGAATACCCAGCAGAAGTAGAAGTCATAGTATATGCAGATGATGTTGCGCTGATGGTTAGAAAAGTAAAGTAAAGATTTCAGTTAACGTCTCCTTTTTGCTGCCAGGGCTAATCTGGACGGGGCCTACTTTGTTTACGTGGAATCCGAACTGCTGTCCTCGGCCATATCATGGTCAATGGCCTACCGACTTGGCAAGTGTTTGAATAGACTCTCACTCACGAGATATCTGATCTCATCCGGCCTCGAACTGGCGTGAATGAGCAGTGTGTGTGAATAGTTTTGACACTTTTGCCTTTTTTTGGAGAACAGCACGATACAGAGTTTTGAACCGGTCACCCGTCCATCCACTATGGGAACACTATTCTAATGGGAACCGGTGTTTTGACGTAGCTGGGCCGCTGAAGTTGCCGCTGATGGTAAGAGTTAAATGTACCGAAGACCTCGTTAGAACTGCGGAAAGAGCATAGGAGCAGGTGTACTCATGGATGGAGGAGGTAGGACTAGAAATAGCGTCGCACAAAACGGAGCCTTTTTGGTTGGTAACCGAAAATCACCATTGTACCAAAGAAAACAAAATATTTGGTGATTGCTTTTCAAGCGGGGCGGAGGCTTTTCTGACCATGTCCGACATAATTTTGAAAGCAGAAAAGCAGGACACCATTTTATTCAGAATTATGCCAAACTGGTCTACGTTGGGTCAAACGAAATGCCGAGTGCTAGTTGGTGTACAGGGTGGCGCCTCTCATACGCCGCGGAAGCTCCAAGGAGAACGGGTTTATATCGAAATGAAATTTTGGCAGCATATGTATGTAGGTTAACTGAAAGCATTTTATAAAAATATATAGAAATATACAGGGAGTCCCCAAAAAAATGTTACACATCAAAGTTGTGTTTTTTCTAATGGAACACCCTATATATTAATTGATTTTCGGATTCTAGGAAAAAAATAAAAGTGAGTTTTATTAAAGAACCATATATATAAAATCTGAGGATTTTGACATATTTCACACTTTGTGAAAATGAAGAGTAAATTTTAAATTTCGACAACAGCTACCTAAATTTTAGTTGACCTTGTATAGCTTTATATTTAATTATAGTAACCATTGTATGTTAAACCAAATTGAAATTTGACTCGAAAAGTTATACAGGGTGAGACAAAATTAATATGGAACATTAGTCACTTTTGAAAGCAAGTTACTCCTTTTTTTAAATGGAATACCCAGTATATTATTCCGGTGTTCAATGGGGAATTTATATATCTTTAAAATAATATTGAGCCTATCCCTCTGACAAAGATTTTCCTAGATATTTTAATTTTTATGATTTTGCGTCAGTAGATTTGAAAAATCTAGATGGCTGTGATATACCTGTTGTTAATTTAACAAAAAAATAATGATTGTAGAGTAAAATACTCAACGATAATAAAAATATACAAGTTTAAAACATATTTTAATTATTACAGGATTAAAACTAGATATAAACGTATAATTATGTGACAAAAGCTACATGAAAGCAAATGCTCAAAATGCTTTATTTCCTGTTAACTGCATAAAATGATTGTCTTTTCAAAAGAATCTTTTCATTTTAAAAGGCATATGTGGAGTTCTACCTCGAAAAGCAGCTACAATAATTTCTCCCATGGTGTCGACAATAATTGGTCGAGTTTTTTAAACACTGTCTTTAACATATCCCCATAAAAAAAAATCCAGACTAGATAAAATCAGGAGCATTTAACTATTCTATGAATTGATGAATGCACACTGCACACACCAACTAATATAATCAAATCAATTCTCTCTGATGTAGGATAAGTTTGCATTTTCAGCAAATTTCTGAGATTTTTTTTTGTGTGTGTTTTATCTGACACAAAATGATAACCAGTTGTTAAAGTTGGACTAATTAAACAGCTATGTTGAAGTAACATGAGACATATCACAGCCACCTAGATTCTATCAAATAATAAAGATCTAACCAGATCAAATCATGTAAATGAAAAAAATATCTAGGAAAATATTTGTTCGAAGGGTATTCGAAGGGCGACCGGGTTCGAAGGGCAACCTTAATAGTATCTTGAAGAGACATGAATTCTCCATTGAATATCGCAATAATATACTGGGTGTTCCATTTAAAATAAAAGAGTAACGTACTTTTGAAGGTGACCAATGTTCAATATTAATTTTGTCTCACCCTGTATAACTTTTTGGATCATGTTTTAACTTGATTTAAAGTACAATGGTTAATTAACCTACATATGCTCACAAAATTTCATTTCAATACAAACTGTCGTTCTCCTCGTCACCCTATACAAGCATTACGGACATTACATACAATTCTGTACGGATCCGAAATTTGGGGAGAAACATGCAAAATTCAGAGACATAGAAAGCAACTTCTTGCAGATCTTGGGTTATAGAATGTAGAATGAGTGGGAGGGGGGTTAATCACTGGCGACCTTACAGATCTATTGTGTCCCCCTTTTCTGAGTTAGAACTCATCATACAGTCCCAGGGCTTTGACAAAAGCCAGTATCTGGGACAGTTCTATACAGGGTAATTCTCCATCTCCAATATCAGCTGTACCATGATCAAGAGTTATAACACGTGCTATTTCACATTGTAAGAATAATACTTACCCCGTAGGTGAAGGGCATGAACTTCCATCCGAACTAGATCCCGATTCGATGCTGGGAACGACCTTGAGCGAATCCATCTTGCTAATACTCGATCTGCCAGCCGGGCTTCTGTCCAAATCGCTGCTCAATGAAATTTTGACAGTAGGTACGTCGGGCTCGATTTGTCGCGTTTTGTCTTCGAAAACTTGCTCAGTGTGCTGTACCTTTAATAAAAAAAAACACTAATTAAATATACAGGGTGTTTCAAAACAAATGCGAAAAACTTCAGGGGGTGATTCCTTGTTCAAAATAAAGGGTAGTTTGCTTCATAAACGTTGGGTCAAAAGTCAACCATTAGGGAGATATCGCGGTACAAAGATGGCGGAAAAATAATGTTCTTATTTTTTATCTTGAAAACGAAAAGAGATAGACTAATGAAATTTTATGGAAGCATTACTGTTATGAAAACATACTTTCTGGTAATTTTTTCACTTTTTTAAAATGATTGGAAGGGGTTGAAATAAACTACCCCTATCATTCTTGTTAACGAAATTTAAAGAAAAATTTTATCAAACACATGCAAAAAAATTAATTTGGATAGATTAGTTTGTTTAGAAACTTTTTTATCTCTAGTATTTTTTTTATAAAACTCACCGATTTGAAATTAAAAAATAAACTGTAAAGCATTACATGTCAGGACTAAAAATATTTTTAGATTAAGAATCTAGTGATAATACTGATAATAATAATAATCTAGATAATAACGTATTGCAGTAGGGTAATGTCAAATAAAACATTATTAGAAACATCCTAAAAAGTGACAGCGGCCGACTAGATTTTTTCCTAAAAAAATTACAGCTGCCCACTAGATTCTTTATCTAAAAATGTTTTTTGTCCTGACATGTAATGCTTTACATTTTATTTTTTAATTTCAAATCGGTGAGTTATATCAAAAAAACACAAGAGATAAAAAAGTTTCTAAATAAACTAATCTATCAAAATTAATTTTCTTTGCATGTGTTTGATAAGATTTTTCTTTAAATTTCATTAACAAGAATGATAGGGGTAGTTTATTTCAACCCCTTCCACTCATTTTAAAAAAGTGAAAAAATTACCAGAAAGTGTGTTTTCATAACAGTAATGCTTCCGTAAAATTTCATTAGTCTATCTCTTTTCGTTTTCAAGATAAAAAATAAAAACATTATTTTTCCGCCATCTTTGTACCGCGATATCTCCCTAATGGTTGACTTTTGACCCAACATTTATAAAGCAAACTACCCTTTATTTTAAACAAGGAATCACCCCCTAAAGTTTTTCGCATTTGTTTTGAAACACCCTGTATATATTTCCACGATATTATAATACAGGGTGGTCCGAACTGTATTCCAGAAACTTCGGCAGTATATTCTGCAGATAAAAATAAGTAAAAAAGTTCGTATGATTGTATGTCATAAACTGCTTAGTTTCGGAGATTTCTCAAAAGTATCACTCCTTGAAAAAAGTAGCTGTAAGAGCGTTGAAGTCATGATTATCAAATCCTGCTTAAAATAGGCTCTGCCACGTATGCAGGATGCAAGAAAACCGCCTACCGATATGTCTTCTTTACGGTGAACTTGTAGAGGGTAAGAGGAAACCGGGTGGACAACTCAAAAGATACAAGGATATTTTCCATGAAAACTTAAAGGGGAGAAACATGCAGAATCAGTGAGAGGAAGCAGCGCACAATAGAACGCAATGGAGAAGAATTGTAAACTCAGTTAACAACGACAACCAAAAAGTAAAGAGGCAACACAATGATGAGATTTTTGAATGTCCGGATTGCGGAAGACAGATAACTTCACGTATCGGGCTTTTCAGTCACAGAAAATCTAATGAAAGAAATCTCTATCTTCTGATGCGTGTCAAATACTCGTCAGCGAGTAATGGCAATAAGTAAGTAAGTAAGCAAGTTACGGAGATACAGGGTGTGCGTCTGAAGTAACGTCAATATTTGGATGAAAACTGGTGTCTGAGAGTTTTTTGACATAAGAAATTTGATTTTGATGTCAATATGATTCCTGCTTGTAGGGGGCGCCATCTACATAATATTTAACTCGTTTGAAGAGTAATAACTTTTCATCCGTACTTGTATAAAACTACCGAGTAAGGAAATATACATTTACGACGTTTTTTACGTAAAAAAGGTTTCTTGGTAAAAATCGTTACGAGTAATGGTTCTCGAGATATTTGGAATCGAAATTATCAATATCTATCGTCAATGACATAAATTAAACATGTTGATTCAATTATTATTAGACCGAAATCATAAATTTGAAATGTTTTTGTGTCAAAAGTAAATTAAAGTTTGTGTCAAAGAAGCTTCCACACCCTGCATCACCAAAACTAAGCATTTTAGGACGTAGATTTATACGAACTTTTTTACTTATTTTTATCTGCAGAACATGCTGCCAAAGTTCCGGAATACAGTTGGAACCAACCTGTATACAGGGTACCAACTAAAAAAAGGTCTCTTGGTAAAAATGGTTACGAGTTATGTTTCTCGAGATATTTGGAATCGAAATTATCAATACCTGTCATCATGGACAAAAATTAAACATGTTGACTAAACAGCTATTAAATTAAAATCATGAATTTCAAATGTTTTTGGCCAAAAGTTCCACAAAAACCCTTTTATCATCATTTCTGCGAAAAAAATTATGGGTAATTTTAAAAAATAAAGTTCCCGAATTTATAATTTCGGAGGACGTTTTCTCGATTTTATATTGACATCAAAATGAAATTTCTCATGTCAAAAAACTCCCAGACACCAATTTTCACTAGGAATACCACTAGAGGTCAAAAAATTTCCGGATTTAATTTGACCTCGTGTGGTATTCGGTAAGAAAATTCCACACCAAATTGTGTTTGAGAATCAAATAATTAAAATGTATTTTTCGATTTTTGGTCGACTTGATTATTTAGTTACGATGACAACTAAGTGATATCCAAACCTAAAAACTATTTCAGTTTTTAGGATCATCAAGTTTCGTGATCATCATATGTATAGATTACAAGCCTGCGATAATTCTTAATTTCTACTCTTTGTAGGTAGTTGCATTAAAATGGCAACCTAGAGCGTAACATAATATATTCTTCTATTTTATATCAATTTCGAGTTACTACAAGTGGGAGAAAGTTATAATTTTAAAAAATTTAATGTGCTTTGCAGTTTCTCAGCCTGCCCTATGAGATATTATTGATTTTTACTTGTCGTAGTTACACGATAATGCACTTTTTTAATGAAACATATTACATTCTTTGATTTTTTATTTACTCTGGGCTACTACAAGTAGTAGAAAATAAAAATTTTATTAGTTCTATAGATACATACATGAACAAATTCAGTTTGCCTTGTCACCAATGGATTCTTAGCCAAACTGTTGATTTCTACTGATTGTAGTAGCTCAAAAGTGCCATTTTAGAACCTAAAATATTATATTCTTTCATTTTATAGTTACTTGGGTTTACTACCAGTGGTAGAAAATCATAATTTAAAAGGTTTTTGCATGAACAGATCTACAGCGCGTCACACTTTTGGCAGCAATTTGGACCTTTAAATTGTTGACTTCTACTCGTTGTAGTTGCACGAAAATACCATCTCAAGACACAACACAATATATTCATTCATTTTACATAAGTTTTGAGTAATTACAAGTGGTACAAAATTGCTTTTTTGCATTTTTATTAACTTTTCATAAACGCTTTATTGGTATGGAATTCATAAACAGCGCGCAGCGTCAGGAAGCGTCAATCATAAAAGGCTGTGATCATCGTATTTTAACAGTTCAAAATATCAGAAAAACTCGCGTTTTGTTGTAATAAAGAATATTGTGCAGCTTGAAAAACCAACAAAATTCTTTGTTTTAAAAATAAATCGGTTTGAAAATCATACTACATGCAAAATACGCGTGAAATTCGTGAATCATCGTTAATTAGCGATAACTTATTCACCCGCATTAATAGAGGATTGAGGCCCCTACTTGAAGAAAGAACATTTGTTTCGAACTGTTTACGAATATTTGCATCTAAACTGCTCAAAATTCAAAGTGCTAAATGGAAAAAAGGTGAATAAAATAGTGTCTAATTATTATATATATTTCATTAGACATAGACATTTAATTCAGTCCATTCCAAGTCCTACATTTTCGCCATTAAGAAGAAAGGAGGTGTTCAAAGAATATAGAAAACATCTCCGCTTTGTAATTGAAATGTATCAAAATTATCATGTAAACAAATAAAAACCAGACTCTCAAAATGATATTCTGTCATTATAAACGTCAAAAAACTTCCAGTATAATTCGCTGTTGGGTGCCCACAGGGAAAAAAATTTCACTAAAATTTATCCAATGCCATGGTGATTTGTCAAAAAAACACGTTTTGATTGGTTAAAAATTACAGGTGTGGAATTTTCATCTAAATATTGACGTTACTTCAGAAATTATTTTGAAAAAATCGAAATAAAATGAAATTTCTACACCCTGTATCTTCAAAACTAATTATTTTAGGACATTTATACATTTTATCTGCAGAATATGCCGCCAATTTTCCGGAATACAGTTCCGACCACCATGTATATTAAAAAAACCTATGAACAAAAATAAAATTTTTATTTGCACAAATGAGACTATAATTATGGATTTGATTATTCGTATTATCTAAATAAAATAGTTCCTATTGGTCTTTCTATTGATACAGTACTAAAAGCTGTAATAAAAATTGCTAACATAAACATCAGTGGCAAAATATGTCTTTTTGGGGACGACACTAGCTTCACTTGGAGCAACAAGGACATCACGGCACTTCATAGGATTATATCAAATGACTTAATCACCATTAAATCTTGGTGCGATTCGAACCTCCTGAGTCTCAACATTTCTAAAACTAAAGCTTTGTCGTATAAAAACCCGTTGCAGCCTTTTGTACTTAACAACACCACCATTGACGTCGTAAAATCTGTAAAATTTTTGGGGCTTGTTGTGGACAATTCTCTGAAATGGGACATACATATCGAAGCTTTGTCGAAAAAATTGAGCTCTGCCTGTTTAGCATTAAGGTCTGTTTCTAAGGAGCTTAACTTGTCAGTGGCTAGAAC